TGGGAAGAGGCACGAGGAGGGCGGCGACCTCCACCGACTATGGAGGACCCGTCACCAGACGACGCAGGGCAGACGACGGTGAGGCGGAGCAGTCGTGCAGGGCGAGACGAGGGAGGGAGCAGGACGTTGCGGAGATCAGCAGGAGGATGTACGAAGAGATTAGGAGCAGCAGGGACCCGAGGGACCATGTGGAAGACGGCTATTGCTAGTCCCCCATCGGGAGGACGACCCCGGCTAGTCGCCGACCACACCCACAAAGAACCCTGCACAAAGATCGCAAGGGCGGGGACCTGTTCCTTTTTACCCATCTCACAGTAGAGGTGTCCGTTTTATTTCGTATTAGAGTACAGTAAGCTAGTCCGTAGTGGTCGGTGCAGCCACACACGAGGAGAGTCGAGAGATCCCTCACACCAAGATCGTGCAGGGCGGGGACACATGTCCCTAAATCCCAATCTGGTTTCAGAGTTTGACCGATTTATTTATTTATTTATTTACGAGGAGAGACGAAGAGACGCTGTGCTCGACCGAGCTGGGACCCAGCTGGCTCCGCCCTGCGTGGTCACAGTCGACTCGCCGGCCGGACAACCTCGCGTAGCCCGTCGAGCAGGCAGCGCAAGTCGTCCGGCGTGTTGTACAGGTGCGGCGAGACGCGAATCACACCGAGCCGCTCCGACACGAGCACCGGCCGAGGCTTGAGCGCGGCGAGCCGTCGGACGAGCTCCGCAGCCGGCGGCATGCCGGCGCCCGTCCGGAGGCCGACGATGCCCGGCGCGTGGCGCGGCGGCACCTCGAAGCCAAGCGCCGCCGCCTGCGCCGAGGCGAGCCTCGTCACCCGCGCCGAGCCCTCGGCCACGTCTCGGCGAGCTCTCGGCTAGCTCTCCTCCCGGCCACCTCTTCTCGGCCCGCATCTCCTCGGCCGCCTCTCTCGGCCGCCTCTCGGCCGCATCTCTCGCCTGCGCTGCGACGAGGCTGGTCATCTCGCCGAGCCGCGCCGCGATCCGCCTCGTGGTCAGCTGCTGCGCGACGAGGCGCAGCGCCGCGACCAGCATGGGCATCACGATGTACGAAGGCCGGCCGCCGCCCTCGAGCCTCCTGGCGCCTGAGGAGTGGAGAATGCAGTCGCTGCCGGTTCGGGCTCCCGGCCGCCGCCCTCGAGCCTCCTGGCGCCGGGCTGGAAGGCGGTCGGGTAGCCGCGCGGGCCCATCGGAAGGCACTCCACATGCTGCGCGCCCTCTCTGTTCCGGTCGTGGTGGTCGAGCGGCCGCGCGCCCCGCCTTGAGGAGAAGAGAGTGCGACATGAAGCAAGAGGCGGGAGCAGGCCGCGCCTCCGGCCAAAGCCCGCCAGAACGAGGGCTCCGCGTAGCAGAGGCACGCCCCGTACGGGCCGAGCAGCCACTTGTGCACGCTGCACGCGACAAAGCAGGCGCCGATCCTCGCCGGCTCGAGGGGCGCCGCCGCGCCGAGCCACTGCGTCGCGTCGACGACGAGCGGCACGCCGCGCGCGCTGCACGCCGCCCCGACCACCGCCAGGTCGACCACCGCGCCGTCGCACCAATGGCATGGCGGCAGCGCGGCCACGGCGACCGAACCGCTGTCGACTTGCGCGACGAGCGCACTCGCCCAGTCGCCGTCGGCGGGGCGAGGGAGCGCGAGGAGCTCGCCGCCCTCGTCGTCGCACAGCGCCTGCCACTGCATCACGTTGGACGGGTTCTGGTCCTCGAGCACCAGCACCCGCCTCCGGCCCGCCGGCCTCGCCCGCATCGCGCCGCGCAAGTTGTGCGCCGCGACGCTCATCGCAAAGGAGCAGCTCGGGAGGACCGCCACGTCGCGGCTGGAGACGCCGCCGCCGAGCAGCTCGCCGAACAGTGTCCGCACCTCCTCCTTCTGAGCCTCGGTGTCGCCGATGTCCCACGGCGTCGCCGCCTTCCTGCGCACCGCCGCCTCTCCCGCCGCGAGGACGCAGGCGGGGAGCGGAGTGCGCGAGGCGGCGTTGATGTACGCGCACGTGCGGTCGAGCTCAGGCCAGAGTGAGGCGGCGTCGATCGGGGCGGCGTCGACCGAGGCTGCGGACATATATGTGTATGTAACACAAAGCGTTAGTGAAAAAAGAAAACCTTCTGCCCGCGTCCCTTCCAAAAGGAAGGCGAGCACGGCCACGTTTCCAGGTACACATGCGCAGGAGCCGCCTAAGCGACTCCTGCGAGCAGGGTAGCGAAGCACTATTCCATGCACTCTCCTAGGCACTCTCGGTAAAAAAAAATCTCTCTCTCTCTGATCGGCGAAAGTAGCGCGGACCTCCGCTGCCTACCGACGCCTTTCACGACCGAGCCGCGCGCCCTCGCGCGGCGTGTGAGCAGCCCGCACGCGCGCCTACTGGGGGACGCGCCGGGGAGTCGTGTGTGGACCGTTAAGAGAGCCGGTAAGGTCCGTTTGGCGGTGCCGATACCCTGGACGCGACCGGCATGATCGGCGAAAGTAGCGCGGTCCTCCGCCACCTACGGACGCCTTTGAAGGCCGACCCGCGCTCCATCGCGCGGGTCGTGAGCATCCCGTACCCGAACCTACTCGGGGCGCCGCCGCGACGGCCTGGATGGCACGTATTTTTGGCCGGTGGTGCCTCTGTCCGAGTCGGCGGCGGCAGCGGCGTGGTCCACGCACTGCTCGCAAGTAAAGCGTCTTCACAGGTCGGCAGATACGCCTCACCTTCAAAAAGGTGGCTGCCTACCCCAAAGCCCAGCCCGGTGCATCGATTTCTCTTGACGATTTCACTTTAAAACGCTGGTGCAGATGGGGTTTTCTCTATAGAAGTCGGAGCCTTGCGTCCAAGGAGAGGCAGCGTGCGGCTCCGTGGACTCGGCCATCACCCGCGGGTGAGAGGGCGATAGGAAGCACTCCCGCCCTCTGAGGCGGCCGTCCGAGTCGGGGAGGCAAACACACAGCCATCCTCGCGGGTGTGGGCGGCCTTATCGGCCCGCTATACTAACCCTTAAGTCGGCCCTTCCTCGGGTCGGCTTCGGAGGCCCCGCAGCCCTAGCCGGAGCTAAGGGGCCCGGCTTTCTCGGCGCTAACCCTAGGGGAAATCGCTCCGGAATAGGGTTCCCGGCACCATCGGGCGGCGCCACACGGATGGAGGGAGTCGGGTTTGCCATCGGCGGGCCGTGAGGGCGCTGAGAACTGAAGGCTGAGTTTTCGCTCCCACTTTCGATGTGTCGGAGTATGCGAGGACGGCCCGTTCTGCCCGTTCTCGGGCTAGTCAGCAGATCTAGCGCAGAGAGGGCGATGAGGCGGAGGCACGCCGCAGCGGCAGGTGCAAAGAATTGGTATGAACAAGCGTATCAGCCGCTATACACACGAAGTTGTCACGGCTACCCTTTGAGTCGGTGTTCGTCTCAGTGGCGAAAATCGGTCTACCGCCGCCACGCGATTGCGCGCGCGCGAGGGCTACTCGAGACAAGCTTGATGGCCTCCGCCGCTCCTCGTAGTCTGATCCGCCTCTCCTCTAGCGCGGAGGGCCTCATCTCGCCGGGGAGAAGTGCGGTGATCCGCCTACCGCCTTAGGCACTTGAACGGCGTCACGGTGAAGGCGGGCTCGGCCGCTGCCTCCCAACGCCTTCGAAGGCCGAGCCGCGCGCTCTCGCGCGGGTTGTGAGCCGCAGGCACGCGCGCCTGCTCGGGGACGCGCCGGGGAGTCGTGTGTGGACCGTTAAGAGAGCCGGGAAGGTCCGTTTGACGGTGCCGATACCTTGGACGCGACCGGCATGATCGGCGAAAGTAGCGCGGTCCTCCGCTGCCTACCGACGCCTTCCACGGCCGAGCCGCGCGCCCTCGCGCGGCGTGTGAGCCGCAGGCACGCGCGTCTGCTCGGGGACGCGCCGGGGAGTCGTGTGTGGACCGTTAAGAGAGCCGGGAAGGTCCGTTTGGCGGTGCCGATACCTTGGACGCGACCGGCATGATCGGCGAAAGTAGCGCGGACCTCCGCTGCCTACCGACGCCTTTCACGACCGAGCCGCGCGCCCTCGCGCGGCGTGTGAGCAGCCCGCACGCGCGCCTACTGGGGGACGCGCCGGGGAGTCGTGTGTGGACCGTTAAGAGAGCCGGTAAGGTCCGTTTGGCGGTGCCGATACCCTGGACGCGACCGGCATGATCGGCGAAAGTAGCGCGGTCCTCCGCCACCTACGGACGCCTTTGAAGGCCGACCCGCGCTCCATCGCGCGGGTCGTGAGCATCCCGTACCCGAACCTACTCGGGGCGCCGCCGCGACGGCCTGGATGGCACGTATTTTTGGCCGGTGGTGCCTCTGTCCGAGTCGGCGGCGGCAGCGGCGTGGTCCACGCACTGCTCGCAAGTAAAGCGTCTTCACAGGTCGGCAGATACGCCTCACCTTCAAAAAGGTGGCTGCCTACCCCAAAGCCCAGCCCGGTGCATCGATTTCTCTTGACGATTTCACTTTAAAACGCTGGTGCAGATGGGGTTTTCTCTATAGAAGTCGGAGCCTTGCGTCCAAGGAGAGGCAGCGTGCGGCTCCGTGGACTCGGCCATCACCCGCGGGTGAGAGGGCGATAGGAAGCACTCCCGCCCTCTGAGGCGGCCGTCCGAGTCGGGGAGGCAAACACACAGCCATCCTCGCGGGTGTGGGCGGCCTTATCGGCCCGCTATACTAACCCTTAAGTCGGCCCTTCCTCGGGTCGGCTTCGGAGGCCCCGCAGCCCTAGCCGGAGCTAAGGGGCCCGGCTTTCTCGGCGCTAACCCTAGGGGAAATCGCTCCGGAATAGGGTTCCCGGCACCATCGGGCGGCGCCACACGGATGGAGGGAGTCGGGTTTGCCATCGGCGGGCCGTGAGGGCGCTGAGAACTGAAGGCTGAGTTTTCGCTCCCACTTTCGATGTGTCGGAGTATGCGAGGACGGCCCGTTCTGCCCGTTCTCGGGCTAGTCAGCAGATCTAGCGCAGAGAGGGCGATGAGGCGGAGGCACGCCGCAGCGGCAGGTGCAAAGAATTGGTATGAACAAGCGTATCAGCCGCTATACACACGAAGTTGTCACGGCTACCCTTTGAGTCGGTGTTCGTCTCAGTGGCGAAAATCGGTCTACCGCCGCCACGCGATTGCGCGCGCGCGAGGGCTACTCGAGACAAGCTTGATGGCCTCCGCCGCTCCTCGTAGTCTGATCCGCCTCTCCTCTAGCGCGGAGGGCCTCATCTCGCCGGGGAGAAGTGCGGTGATCCGCCTACCGCCTTAGGCACTTGAACGGCGTCACGGTGAAGGCGGGCTCGGCCGCTGCCTCCCAACGCCTTCGAAGGCCGAGCCGCGCGCTCTCGCGCGGGTTGTGAGCCGCAGGCACGCGCGCCTGCTCGGGGACGCGCCGGGGAGTCGTGTGTGGACCGTTAAGAGAGCCGGGAAGGTCCGTTTGACGGTGCCGATACCTGGACGCGACCGGCATGATCGGCGAAAGTAGCGCGGTCCTCCGCCACCTACGGACGCCTTTGAAGGCCGACCCGCGCTCCATCGCGCGGGTCGTGAGCATCCCGTACCCGAACCTACTCGGGGCGCCGCCGCGACGGCCTGGATGGCACGTATTTTTGGCCGGTGGTGCCTCTGTCCGAGTCGGCGGCGGCAGCGGCGATGAGGCCGCGGCGCAAGGGCGGAGCAGAACCGCCGCAGCGGCCTGCGGCTGCGCCGCGCGCCCGCGCGCGGAGGAGGGGCGTGTGTGAGTCAGTGCTACGCGGTGCCGCCCTTGGAGAGGCGAGAGAAGCCGGTGTGGCAGGCAGGTTTAGCTTTGTCGGGCGGCGCGAGCCGCCTCGCCGCACGCGGCCCAAATCAAGACACCACACCAGCTGCGCTGGCAGCGGGCGCTGGTCGTCTGGCAGGCAAAGGGGCGGCTAAACGGCATGGCCCGGATCGCGTGCGCCAGGCCCCGCGCGCAGAGGGCGGCTCTCTGAGCTCAGGGGACACAGAGCTCGGCAGCAGCTGTGAGCTCTCAAAAGTCGCTGTTCACACTGGCGACACCGGTTTCTTCTTCTATATCTTCATGAACCGCTGGGGGAGGAATAATTTCGTGCCCAGACCGCCGTACTGGCACGGTAGGATCGAGATCCGCGAGCGAGAGATGGAATTGGAGCCCTGGTGCGACGGGTTAGGTGAGCTACCATCACTGTCTTAGTGCGCGCGCCCCGCATGGTCCGACACATCTAAAGTGGAAGGGTGGGGTAGGGGAGAAGTACTCTTGAGGGAAACATTGGACCGTCAGGCCCCGGGGACTGGCCAGCCCGACTAACACAACCTTCAGGAACACCATTTTGCGGTCCTGAGCGGCCGTCTCGGAGCAGAAGCTTCCCTGCCTCCTTAGCCATGTTGCGGTGCCCTCGCGCCATCTGGTCCACGCACTGCTCGCAAGTAAAGCGTCTTCACAGGTCGGCAGATACGCCTCACCTTCAAAAAGGTGGCTGCCTACCCCAAAGCCCAGCCCGGTGCATCGATTTCTCTTGACGATTTCACTTTAAAACGCTGGTGCAGATGGGGTTTTCTCTATAGAAGTCGGAGCCTTGCGTCCAAGGAGAGGCAGCGTGCGGCTCCGTGGACTCGGCCATCACCCGCGGGTGAGAGGGCGATAGGAAGCACTCCCGCCCTCTGAGGCGGCCGTCCGAGTCGGGGAGGCAAACACACAGCCATCCTCGCGGGTGTGGGCGGCCTTATCGGCCCGCTATACTAACCCTTAAGTCGGCCCTTCCTCGGGTCGGCTTCGGAGGCCCCGCAGCCCTAGCCGGAGCTAAGGGGCCCGGCTTTCTCGGCGCTAACCCTAGGGGAAATCGCTCCGGAATAGGGTTCCCGGCACCATCGGGCGGCGCCACACGGATGGAGGGAGTCGGGTTTGCCATCGGCGGGCCGTGAGGGCGCTGAGAACTGAAGGCTGAGTTTTCGCTCCCACTTTCGATGTGTCGGAGTATGCGAGGACGGCCCGTTCTGCCCGTTCTCGGGCTAGTCAGCAGATCTAGCGCAGAGAGGGCGATGAGGCGGAGGCACGCCGCAGCGGCAGGTGCAAAGAATTGGTATGAACAAGCGTATCAGCCGCTATACACACGAAGTTGTCACGGCTACCCTTTGAGTCGGTGTTCGTCTCGGTGGCGAAAATCGGTCTACCGCCGCCACGCGATTGCGCGCGCGCGAGGGCTACTCGAGACAAGCTTGATGGCCTCCGCCGCTCCTCGTAGTCTGATCCGCCTCTCCTCTAGCGCGGAGGGCCTCATCTCGCCGGGGAGAAGTGCGGTGATCCGCCTACCGCCTTAGGCACTTGAACGGCGTCACGGTGAAGGCGGGCTCGGCCGCTGCCTCCCAACGCCTTCGAAGGCCGAGCCGCGCGCTCTCGCGCGGGTTGTGAGCCGCAGGCACGCGCGCCTGCTCGGGGACGCGCCGGGGAGTCGTGTGTGGACCGTTAAGAGAGCCGGGAAGGTCCGTTTGACGGTGCCGATACCTTGGACGCGACCGGCATGATCGGCGAAAGTAGCGCGGTCCTCCGCTGCCTACCGACGCCTTCCACGGCCGAGCCGCGCGCCCTCGCGCGGCGTGTGAGCCGCAGGCACGCGCGTCTGCTCGGGGACGCGCCGGGGAGTCGTGTGTGGACCGTTAAGAGAGCCGGGAAGGTCCGTTTGGCGGTGCCGATACCTTGGACGCGACCGGCATGATCGGCGAAAGTAGCGCGGACCTCCGCTGCCTACCGACGCCTTTCACGACCGAGCCGCGCGCCCTCGCGCGGCGTGTGAGCAGCCCGCACGCGCGCCTACTGGGGGACGCGCCGGGGAGTCGTGTGTGGACCGTTAAGAGAGCCGGTAAGGTCCGTTTGGCGGTGCCGATACCCTGGACGCGACCGGCATGATCGGCGAAAGTAGCGCGGTCCTCCGCCACCTACGGACGCCTTTGAAGGCCGACCCGCGCTCCATCGCGCGGGTTGTGAGCATCCCGTACCCGAACCTACTCGGGGCGCCGCCGCGACGGCCTGGATGGCACGTATTTTTGGCCGGTGGTGCCTCTGTCCGAGTCGGCGGCGGCAGCGGCGATGAGGCCGCGGCGCAAGGGCGGAGCAGAACCGCCGCAGCGGCCTGCGGCTGCGCCGCGCGCCCGCGCGCGGAGGAGGGGCGTGTGTGAGTCAGTGCTACGCGGTGCCGCCCTTGGAGAGGCGAGAGAAGCCGGTGTGGCAGGCAGGTTTAGCTTTGTCGGGCGGCGCGAGCCGCCTCGCCGCACGCGGCCCAAATCAAGACACCACACCAGCTGCGCTGGCAGCGGGCGCTGGTCGTCTGGCAGGCAAAGGGGCGGCTAAACGGCATGGCCCGGATCGCGTGCGCCAGGCCCCGCGCGCAGAGGGCGGCTCTCTGAGCTCAGGGGACACAGAGCTCGGCAGCAGCTGTGAGCTCTCAAAAGTCGCTGTTCACACTGGCGACACCGGTTTCTTCTTCTATATCTTCATGAACCGCTGGGGGAGGAATAATTTCGTGCCCAGACCGCCGTACTGGCACGGTAGGATCGAGATCCGCGAGCGAGAGATGGAATTGGAGCCCTGGTGCGACGGGTTAGGTGAGCTACCATCACTGTCTTAGTGCGCGCGCCCCGCATGGTCCGACACATCTAAAGTGGAAGGGTGGGGTAGGGGAGAAGTACTCTTGAGGGAAACATTGGACCGTCAGGCCCCGGGGACTGGCCAGCCCGACTAACACAACCTTCAGGAACACCATTTTGCGGTCCTGAGCGGCCGTCTCGGAGCAGAAGCTTCCCTGCCTCCTTAGCCATGTTGCGGTGCCCTCGCGCCATCTGGTCCACGCACTGCTCGCAAGTAAAGCGTCTTCACAGGTCGGCAGATACGCCTCACCTTCAAAAAGGTGGCTGCCTACCCCAAAGCCCAGCCCGGTGCATCGATTTCTCTTGACGATTTCACTTTAAAACGCTGGTGCAGATGGGGTTTTCTCTATAGAAGTCGGAGCCTTGCGTCCAAGGAGAGGCAGCGTGCGGCTCCGTGGACTCGGCCATCACCCGCGGGTGAGAGGGCGATAGGAAGCACTCCCGCCCTCTGAGGCGGCCGTCCGAGTCGGGGAGGCAAACACACAGCCATCCTCGCGGGTGTGGGCGGCCTTATCGGCCCGCTATACTAACCCTTAAGTCGGCCCTTCCTCGGGTCGGCTTCGGAGGCCCCGCAGCCCTAGCCGGAGCTAAGGGGCCCGGCTTTCTCGGCGCTAACCCTAGGGGAAATCGCTCCGGAATAGGGTTCCCGGCACCATCGGGCGGCGCCACACGGATGGAGGGAGTCGGGTTTGCCATCGGCGGGCCGTGAGGGCGCTGAGAACTGAAGGCTGAGTTTTCGCTCCCACTTTCGATGTGTCGGAGTATGCGAGGACGGCCCGTTCTGCCCGTTCTCGGGCTAGTCAGCAGATCTAGCGCAGAGAGGGCGATGAGGCGGAGGCACGCCGCAGCGGCAGGTGCAAAGAATTGGTATGAACAAGCGTATCAGCCGCTATACACACGAAGTTGTCACGGCTACCCTTTGAGTCGGTGTTCGTCTCGGTGGCGAAAATCGGTCTACCGCCGCCACGCGATTGCGCGCGCGCGAGGGCTACTCGAGACAAGCTTGATGGCCTCCGCCGCTCCTCGTAGTCTGATCCGCCTCTCCTCTAGCGCGGAGGGCCTCATCTCGCCGGGGAGAAGTGCGGTGATCCGCCTACCGCCTTAGGCACTTGAACGGCGTCACGGTGAAGGCGGGCTCGGCCGCTGCCTCCCAACGCCTTCGAAGGCCGAGCCGCGCGCCCTCGCGCGGGTTGTGAGCCGCAGGCACGCGCGCCTGCTCGGGGACGCGCCGGGGAGTCGTGTGTGGACCGTTAAGAGAGCCGGGAAGGTCCGTTTGACGGTGCCGATACCTTGGACGCGACCGGCATGATCGGCGAAAGTAGCGCGGTCCTCCGCTGCCTACCGACGCCTTTCACGACCGAGCCGCGCGCCCTCGCGCGGCGTGTGAGCAGCCCGCACGCGCGCCTACTGGGGGACGCGCCGGGGAGTCGTGTGTGGACCGTTAAGAGAGCCGGTAAGGTCCGTTTGGCGGTGCCGATACCCTGGACGCGACCGGCATGATCGGCGAAAGTAGCGCGGTCCTCCGCCACCTACGGACGCCTTTGAAGGCCGACCCGCGCTCCATCGCGCGGGTTGTGAGCATCCCGTACCCGAACCTACTCGGGGCGCCGCCGCGACGGCCTGGAAGGCACGTATTTGTGGCCGGTGGTGCCTCTGTCCGAGTCGGCGGCGGCAGCGGCGATGAGGCCGCGGCGCAAGGGCGGAGCAGAACCGCCGCAGCGGCCTGCGGCTGCGCCGCGCGCCCGCGCGCGGAGGAGGGGCGTGTGTGAGTCAGTGCTACGCGGTGCCGCCCTTGGAGAGGCGAGAGAAGCCGGTGTGGCAGGCAGGTTTAGCTTTGTCGGGCGGCGCGAGCCGCCTCGCCGCACGCGGCCCAAATCAAGACACCACACCAGCTGCGCTGGCAGCGGGCGCTGGTCGTCTGGCAGGCAAAGGGGCGGCTAAACGGCATGGCCCGGATCGCGTGCGCCAGGCCCCGCGCGCAGAGGGCGGCTCTCTGAGCTCAGGGGACACAGAGCTCGGCAGCAGCTGTGAGCTCTCAAAAGTCGCTGTTCACACTGGCGACACCGGTTTCTTCTTCTATATCTTCATGAACCGCTGGGGGAGGAATAATTTCGTGCCCAGACCGCCGTACTGGCACGGTAGGATCGAGATCCGCGAGCGAGAGATGGAATTGGAGCCCTGGTGCGACGGGTTAGGTGAGCTACCATCACTGTCTTAGTGCGCGCGCCCCGCATGGTCCGACACATCTAAAGTGGAAGGGTGGGGTAGGGGAGAAGTACTCTTGAGGGAAACATTGGACCGTCAGGCCCCGGGGACTGGCCAGCCCGACTAACACAACCTTCAGGAACACCATTTTGCGGTCCTGAGCGGCCGTCTCGGAGCAGAAGCTTCCCTGCCTCCTTAGCCATGTTGCGGTGCCCTCGCGCCATCTGGTCCACGCACTGCTCGCAAGTAAAGCGTCTTCACAGGTCGGCAGATACGCCTCACCTTCAAAAAGGTGGCTGCCTACCCCAAAGCCCAGCCCGGTGCATCGATTTCTCTTGACGATTTCACTTTAAAACGCTGGTGCAGATGGGGTTTTCTCTATAGAAGTCGGAGCCTTGCGTCCAAGGAGAGGCAGCGTGCGGCTCCGTGGACTCGGCCATCACCCGCGGGTGAGAGGGCGATAGGAAGCACTCCCGCCCTCTGAGGCGGCCGTCCGAGTCGGGGAGGCAAACACACAGCCATCCTCGCGGGTGTGGGCGGCCTTATCGGCCCGCTATACTAACCCTTAAGTCGGCCCTTCCTCGGGTCGGCTTCGGAGGCCCCGCAGCCCTAGCCGGAGCTAAGGGGCCCGGCTTTCTCGGCGCTAACCCTAGGGGAAATCGCTCCGGAATAGGGTTCCCGGCACCATCGGGCGGCGCCACACGGATGGAGGGAGTCGGGTTTGCCATCGGCGGGCCGTGAGGGCGCTGAGAACTGAAGGCTGAGTTTTCGCTCCCACTTTCGATGTGTCGGAGTATACGTACTTTTAGCTTACTGGGAGAAAAGAGAGAGGGGGTTGTGTTCTCTAGGCCCCTAGGGGCCCTACGCGCGGCGTGAGAGCTCGGAAGCGAGCTTAGCACGGCGATCGAGGATGGCACGGTTCACCCCCTTCACCGAAGCGATGGAGATGCGTTCCGCGTGGTGTGACACAAATGAGAGGCGGGAGTGGGGAGGGTACGCGGTGCGGTCAACGCCCGAGCGTTGAGCCTTGCGCGCAAGGCGGTTGATCTTTGCAACTGCGTGTTGTACGTCTCTCTCGTGTTGTACGTACGTACAACACGCTCGACTTCATCGACACGCTCGAATGCACCGAGGGCATTCAGAACGTTGGACACCTCAAGTACAACCTCATCACCCGTCAGGCCTGCCCAAAGACGAAGTACATTTGCTCCGTCACGCCACCAGAGATCAGCGAGGGCCCGGCCATCGACGGTAGCAACCGGATTCGCAAATCGTGGGAACTACTCACGGAGGCCGAGGATACTCCTGCGAAATACAAAGACCTGGGTTGGAGGCAGGCTATGCTCCCTACCATCACTGGAGGCTCCGGCGTCGACACGGGCGTCACCTCGGTCGGCGTGCTTAACGACACGGGGGAGGGCCGCACGGGCGTGCGCGGCCCGGCCGAAGCCTACCACAACTCCCTCCTCAAATGCTGGTCAAAGCTTGTGGCCTGCAGCCCAGACCTCGCCGAAGCCGAGCGCTGCGGCGGGTACGGCGCACGGGACGCCGCCGTCAACTCGTACAGAGCCGCGCTCTCGAGGCGAGACGAGGTGGCCTCCATCCGAGCCGCGCGCGACGACAACATCTACTACACCTTGCGCGGCGGCAAAATCTCTGAGTTCTACCCCAAGGGCGTCAGCCTCCCCACTTCTGAGTCTCTTCCAACACCGGAGTCAGTCATCGATGGCACTTGCAAATCAGGAAGCCCGTATGCGCGGGCGCTTGCTGCCATCGAGACTATCTGGAACTGGTTCGATCTGCAGAAGGAGTGGCGCGCCCTTGACGACTACACAGCAGCCAACTGGCAGCCCGGCGACACCAAGATACGTTACCGCGAGTCCATCCGCTACGTCTCAACTTCGCAGCCTTACGCGGGGCGGTGGCTCGACACCAAACTTGACGGCAGCAACGCCACAACCATTCCAGACGACATATTCATCGGCGAACTTCAGCGCCGAAACGGTCTTCACCTCTCGCAGTGCCGCTCGACTGTCACGCGGGCACTCGAGCTTGGGGACACAGTCGGTGGTGCAAAGGACTACCATGGCGACTGGTTCCTCAACAACGCCGCCCGGCGGCGCCCACACGACGGCGTACTTCGCGCCTGGTACGATTGTGTCGCCGCCGTCTCCATCTCCCGGCCCGTTATGGGAGATGCCGAAAAACCTGAGCTCACCAAACAGTTCAACGAGGGCTACAAAACCGACCTGGCTGAGCCGGGCGCGGCTCCCGGGGGCAAAGACGAGATCAGCGAGGTCAAACTTTGGACCCCCCTCCGGGGTGGCTTGCCTGTTGGGGTCGGCCGCGCCGACACCGGAGGCAACCCCGGCTCCGTTGGAGACAAGTTCGCCTTCGGCAACACCGAAGAGCGCGCCCGCCTTGCAAACATGGGCTGCAAGCAACGCGGGTTCCGTGGTCAACGTGCGTTCGACCACACCACCGGCCAAGGCTACGTCAAGTCGCAGCGTGGCCACTACCATGACGGGATCTTCGGCAAACGAAACAAGTTCAACCTGCTTCTCCACGAGACATTCGGCGGCGGCTTCTCGCCGCCTGCAGTTGCAAAGATCAACCGCCTTGCGCGCAAGGCTCAACGCTCGGGCGTTGACCGCACCGCGTACCCTCCCCACTCCCGCCTCTCATTTGTGTCACACCACGCGGAACGCATCTCCATCGCTTCGGTGAAGAGGGTGAACCGTGCCATCCTCGATCGCCGTGCTAAGCTCGCTTCCGAGCTCTCACGCCGCGCGTAGGGCCCCTAGGGGCCTAGAGAACACAACCCCCTCTCTCTTTTCTCCCAGTAAGCTAAAAGTACGTACAACACTCTCTCTCTCGTCTTGTAAAATTCCTTCTACAATGAGTTTATGCGAAAAGCCGGTAAACCAGCGGCGACACCTATTACCGCCCAGGACCAGCGGCGACACCTATTACCGCCGACAGGCACACGCATGCTGTGCGCCGCGTCCTTCTCCTCGACAAACGCTGCATGCGACCTCAGCGCAGCGGTCTTTCGTGACCCGCACCTCCATTTTGCCCACGGAGGAAGCGCTGACTTACGCGGCAAACACAACGCGCTGTTCAGCTTCTTAGTACCACACCCTCTTCGCGAGCTCTAAAAGAAGAAAACGGGAAACCGAGGGAGGGATGGGAGGACGGCACGCCGCAACCACACAGGGATTTTAAGGAGAGTCTGCCTCGTTTTTTCTTGAACCGGGTACCTCTGAGAAGAACGCTCGTGGAAGATTACGCCCTTCTTTCTTTTGGTGAGCCTGTGTGTGTGCCAGTCCGCGCCAGTCCGCGCCCCCTTGTCGTGCCAGTGTGCTGTGAGAGAGGTAGGTAGGTAGGTAGAAAGGTGAAGAACAGCCAGGCTCGGACTGGACACCAACGCGGTATGGGTGGACGCTAGACAGATGATGACGGCACGCACGAGCGACACACAGACACAAACAGGCTCACAAGACACACAGCCAGCGGGCTGCCACACACCCTGAGTTGGCGTACACATAACTCAAGGCCATATCCTCCCTGTCGCCCCCCCCAGCACTCCACGGTGCCAAGAGAAACAAACAAGGGCACAACAACACAACAGACAACAGGAAGTGACATGCGAGGCTAGAGCGGGCTTGCTCTTGCGTCTAAGAATTCTTTTTTCCAACGGCCAAAGCGGGCAGCCTCCGGGCAGCGTCGCGGCCTCGTCCCTCCAACCAGTACGTGCAGCACATTGTCGAGACCGCCAAAATGGCGGGCGCCGACGCGGTCAAGCAGCTCAAGATCAAGACGAGTGCCGTCTCGCGTCTCATGAAGGACCGGGTGGCGTCGGACAGGGAAATTGAGGGGCAGAAGGAGCGGATCGGGAAGGTGAGGAGCGACCCGGAGAAGGACGAGCACGACGTGGCGAAGCAGGCGCGCAGGCCGCGGCGCGTGGCGCAGCGCCGCACCGCGGCCGATGCCGAGCCCCCGGCGCGCCCGCCCGTCCGTCGCAGGAGGAGGTGCTCGCCGAGATGGTGGCCGGCCGGGCAGACGAGCTGTGCCGGCTCAAGGACTTTGCGCTCGAGCTCGACTCTGTCGTGGCGCGCGGCGGGAGAGCCCCGCCGCGGGGGCGCGCGCCTGAGCCCTGCGACGCCCCGCCCGCCGCCGCAGGAGCTCACAAAGGCGGACCTGGGCTCGAGCGAGGAGCACGCGAACGCCGCGGATGTGTTTGGGCAGGCGGCGGCCATTCTCAAGCGGGAGGGGGTCGAGCTCGACGACTGAGGAGCCGCCGTCCTCCGGTCGGCCAGCACACGCGAAGGACGCCTTCGCCCTCGCGGGCCTTGCTCGACTTTTGCTCGCGCTGGGCGTCGTCTGGCCACTCAGCTTGCGAGGCACACAGCTTAGATCCCTTGACATATGTGCACTCAGCGCCCTGCCCGCGCTCTCGAGCCCGCGCTCTCCTGAACCTTCGGAGTTGCTCGAGTACTGCGCGGTGGCAGGAGCAAGGTGAGGCGGCTAACAGCATTCCCCCCCTCACGGTCACGCCATTACAGCATACCTGGTCTTTGTCTCAGGAATGCGGCTGTGTCTTTAGTTGTGCTCGTCTCTTTCTTTAATAAAGGCAAGCTCTCTGGATGTCCCGGGCTTTACCGGGTCTGGCAGCACCGGCTCAACGCCGCGCCCCGCGCGGGTCGGTGCAAGCAGGGAATGGGTTCCCGCTGCTGTCTGCTGCAGCCTCCAGTCGCGGTGCGCGGCCTCCGCCCTCTCGGCGTTTGCCTCTCGCCCTGCTGCAGCATCCGTGCCCATATCTGGCAGCTGTTCGCCGAGCGCCTCTTCAAAGCATGCGAGGATCTCGTCGCTCTCAAGGGCAGTCTCGAGCCCCTCGTCAGCAGCGCGGATGCTCGCCAGCAGCCCAGCACACGGCCCGCTGTCGGTCGCGGTCTCGTCTTAGTTCTAGCAGCGTCGGCGCCGACCTCCTCCCGCTGGCCGCGCATCATGCTGCGCTTCGCGAGCAATCGCGTAACGGGAGGCTGGCCGGCTTTTTGTGGCTTTTGGACGGCTTTTTGGCTTTTCCCGCCTCCCTACACCTCTCTTGTCTTTTTTTTAGGGTTTGGTCCGTCTTAAAAACAGTTTTACAGAAAAAAGCGCGCAAAGTTTTCTTCGCCGTCGCCCGTGCCTTGCATGTCGCGCAGCATCCTTGGAGCACTTGGAGTGCAGTTATTAGCCTCACATCCAGGGCCGGGGAGCTCAGAAGCGCACCCAGCGGGCCGGATGATCGGGATCGGGTTGCGTGCCCGCCAAATTCTTCTTCGCCCGACGGCCGGCCCCCTTGCAATGAAGCTCTTCCTTCTCTCTCTCGATCGCTCGCGATGAATGACAGCGAGGCGTGGGAGGCTCGGCGGCGGTCCGTCCTCGGCACCGATGGCCCGTCGGCGTCCGAGGGTGCCCGGATGCGCCGGTCGCGGTCCTGGCGCGAGCCCGGCGCCTCCACCGGGTACGTCCCGGCCGTCAACGACAGCGATCACTGGGAGAATACGCGGAGGACCGTGCGAGGAGAGGCGGTGCAGCCACCGGTTGTGCGCGCTCAGACCACGCGCCATTCGCTCGCCGCGCGCGATCTGGACGCGGGCGGCCCGTCCGCGGCTCGCGGCAGGCAGCCGACAACCTTTCTGCAGCAGGACGAGGCGGGGCAGGAGCGGCAAGCACGGGTGGTGCGACGCGGGCGGTTTCGAAAGTTCCGGCTGCTCATCCTCTTCATGTCGCTCCTCGGGATTGGCTTTCTCTTCGCCACTCCGCGCGGCGGGGTGAGCGGATTTGGGCGCCGCTCCAACCAGTACGTGCAGCACATCGTCGAAAAGGGGAAGTCGTGGACGGCGACGCAGCTGGAGTTCGTGCAGCGATGGCAGTACGGGATGCAGCTCTTCGACCTCTACTCCGCCGTGAGGCGCGGCCAGTGGCCCGCCTCGTCGGTCGGCGCGCCGCGCCGCGCCTCCGGCCGGCGCGTGTTTCTGCGCGACGTGCAGAGCGGCCACTATGTGCGCGCGCGAGGGCGTGCGAGGAGGAGGGCTGGAGCTGTCTACGAGCTCTCCGGGAGCCGTTGGCTGTAGGTGCGCGTGGTGACGCACGAGGAGGAGCCCGAGAAGAGGGCGCACAGCCGCAACCTGGGCAAGCTCGGCAGCGTGCACTCTGGCGGCGGGTGCAGTCAGTGTCAGCATGGATCAGTCACTCGTGGTGAATGAAGTGATAGGCAGCGTGCAGCCCGGCGAGCTGATCGCGGACCAGCCGGCCCCCTGCACCGGGGAGGCGGTCTGCCCCTTGCTGCCCATTCCTGAGTAGTTGGCCGTTGCTACGCGCAGGTCCCCTGGCTACACGGCGGCGCGTTCGAGCTGTACGACGCCCGCAAGACGCTCCTCCACCACAGCGTGCGGGAGGGGGGGGCGGAGCCCGAGAAGAAGGAGAAGCACGGCGGTGTCCAGCTCTCGCAGTCACGGCGTTCTTTCTCTCATCGACAAGTGTTTCTGCTATAGGAGAGGCCAGCATCTCGAGCCGTCGTGCTGACGGCCGTCTCGTCTTCACACCCTTTCGTACTTGCACAGGAGCACCTCTTCTCGAGCTCGCTGTGGCAGTCCGTCTCGAAGCTCGCCAAGAAGGGGCGGCTGCAGGGCGCCGACGACACGCGGTGGGAGTTGCTCAACCGGGCGAGTCAAGGCGGCGGTTTCGTCGCCGTTTCTTGGCGCTCCACCGTAGAGCGCCTCTTCTGCTGGAGCCTTCCCTGAGCCTTCTCGGAACCTTCCCGAAGGCGCTCGACCTTCCTCGACTACCTCTTCTCGTGGAACGCGACCTGGAGCGATTTTGCGCACGGAACCCGCCCTTCGGCTCGAGCCGCCCCTCCCGTCCCGTGAGCAACTCTCTAGCGACTCGGCTCGCTCTGTCGGCCACAGGCGTCTACGTCGGCGCGCTGTCTGCGCGCACCTTCCGGTCTAGCGACGCGACGGCGCTGCGCGCAGAGATGCTGCCGCCTGGCCCTCCGCCAGACGGGCCGCGCCGCGGGGTCAGCGGCGTCGAGCTCGCGAGAGTGCGGCTGCGCGCGCCCGGCCGGCTTGGCGTCGACGGCGCGGACGACTGGATGGGAGGGGCGCGGTTTATTGTCATCGACCCGGAGACGGGCGCCCCCGCGCACGGCTCGGACTAGGGCTCGAGTGGTCCGCTGTCGGCCAGTTCCACTCGCTGCGTGTAGGCGCCCCTCCGCGTGGCGGACTATTTATTATGTATTGTCATAATAGTGATATGATTATGACGCTATGATTAGGCGCCCTCCGCGTGGCGGACTATGCTGGCGAGCCGGAGCCGGGCAGCTTGAGGCCCGCCGAGTTTGCGGTGGAGGCGGTGGAGTCGCTCAAGGGCTCGTCAACTCTCGGGATCGTGGCTGATCCCGGAGCACGATTACGCTTCTTGAGTAGGGATGGATGAGTGGAGTTAGGCGTCAACCTCGGCTCATGGCTGATCCCGGAGCACGATTACGCGGTCGTGACGAACGAGTCGCTCTGCGAGTACACCGAGCGCGTCGGCGCCGCAAAGAGCAGCCGCGTGATGGAGGAGCTGTGGACAGCGTCTCTTCACGCCTGCAAGCTGTGAACAGGCGCCGCAAAGAGCAGCCGCGTGATGGAGGAGCACCTGTCGACTTTCGTGACGGAGGCCGACTTCGACTGGATGGCGTCGCACGGCGTCAACACGGTGCGGGTGCCGCTCGGGTGGTGGAACGTGCTGCACGCGTCGGAGCTGCCCGACCCGGGCACGTCCAAGGCGTGGACGTCCTTTGCGCCGTCGCCCGAGGTGTCGATGGCGGCGATCGGCCAGGCGCTCGATTGGGCGGCACATCGGCGCATGTATGTGCTGCTGGACTTGCACGGCGGGCCGGGCGGGCAGAATGGAAAGGACCACTCCGGCTGCCACGGGGTTGCGGAGTGGCACGAGCACTCAGTCAACAACTCGCTGCTGGTCATCTCGGCCCTGATGGAGCGCTTCGGCGACCACGACGCGCTGTGGGGCGTCGAGCTGCTCAACGAGCCCGGAGAGACGTAGCCGAGATGCGGCAGCGATGCGGCCGAGATGCGGCAGCGATGCAGCCGCGAGACGCCCGAGAGTCGCAGAGAGCAGCGGCGTGGGCGGCTTCTCCACCGCCCCGCTGCGGACATGCCGCAGCGCACAGCGGCGTGGCGCGGTGTGGGATCGCGAGCACTGATCGCGAGCACTCCTCCTGCAGGACACCTCTCCTATTCACACCTCTCCCATTCACACCTCTCCCATTCACACCTCTCCCATTCACACCTCTCCCATTCACACTCCTATCGCAGGCGACCTCTCCACGGCCCCCCTCGAGGACGAGATGCGGCCGATGCTCCTACAGTACTACGAGGCATCGACCGCCACGATCCGCCGCTACTCACTCCGTGCTGCTCATTCGCCATTGCTCACCGCAGGCGGCGTACGCCATCATCCGCTCCCACCGGCCCGACGTCGCGGTCGTGTTTTGCGTGCTGTACTGGTTCGACTTTTGGGCGTGGGCCGGCCAGCTGCGCGAGCCGCGCTACTACAACGTCGTCACCGACTACCACATGTACACGGCCTTCGACGGCTTCGACGGCGACTCGCCCGACTCGATGGTGGAGGACGCGGCGCGCGCGTTCGGGTGCCGGCTGATGCAGCACTCCTACCACCACCCGGCGGTGGTTGGCGAGTGGGCGCTCGCGGTGGACCGGTGGGGCCAAAAGGTGAAGCAGGGGTACGTGGACGCGCAGCTCACCTCTTACAACTCCTCGCTCGGCTCGTACTTTTGGACGTATGTCATGGACGGGGACGCGGGCGAGAGGAGCCGAGAGCAGCCGAGAGCAGCCGAGAGGCAGCCGAGAGACAGCCGAGAGACAGCCGAGAGGCAGCCGAGAGCAGCCGAGAGCAGCCGAGAGGCAGCCGAGAGACAGCCGAGAGACAGCCGAGAGACAGCCGAGAGCAGCCGAGAGCAGCCGAGAGCAGCCGAGAGGAGCCGAGAGCAGCCGAGAGCAGCCGAGAGCAGCCGAGAGACAGCCGAGAGGAGCCGAGATCAGCCGAGAGGCAGCCGAGAGCAGCCGAGAGCAGCCGAGAGGCAGCCGAGAGACAGCCGAGAGACAGCCGAGAGACAGCCGAGAGCAGCCGAGAGCAGCCGAGAGCAGCCGAGAGGAGCCGAGAGCAGCCGAGAGCAGCCGAGAGCAGCCGAGAGACAGCCGAGAGGAGCCGAGATCAGCCGAGATCGTGGATGGAGGCGCGGGCGTGGCCAATGCAGCGGCCAAGCATGCAGCGGCGTGGCGAACGGCGTCTCTTCACGCCGTCTGGCGTGAGCAGGCATGGCCGAATGGGGCATCACCGGCAAAAAGCCGTCGGGTACAGACAAGTGGGACACGGTTGGGCCGTCGCCGCAGTGGGACTTCACGGTGGCCGTCGAGGAGCGGCCGAACGAGAAAGGCGAGGGAGCCTAGCCGGGACTCGCTGGGACTCGCTGAGGGGTGGGGCGAACGCCCCCCCCCCCCCCCCCCTCACTTTCTTGTGACCCTTCCGTGACCCTTCCGCGACCCTTCCGTGACCCTTCCGAGATCCTTCCGCGAGCCCTCTTGGAGCCGTCGCATAGGCGAGTTCCACTCGTCCTACGCCTTCCCGAACGTGCGAAAGTGGTACCCCTCCGCCCCTGGCGCTCCATCGCTCGAGCAGCTCCGCGCCGGTGCCGGACTCTTCCGAGACACTTCCGAGACACTTCCTGCTCCACGGCTGGAAGCGCTCTCCACACCCGTCCCAGGCTGCGGTCAAAGGGCATGCCCAGTCATGCTCCCCCGTGCCCCTCAACAGGAACGCCCGTCGGCGCGGGCCACGGCCTGCTGCCGCTGCCGCCCATCACGGCTCTCTGCGTGCCGAGGGGCTGTGGGACACGTCCGCAGACGCGTCCACGACATGTCCACGGCACGCCGCGTAGGACTTGCCTCGCGCCGAGCACCTGAACCCGGACCCGGTCCCTCCTTGCGGGAGCGCCTCGCCCCACCAGCGTCGCGCTGCCGGAGCCTTCCTGAACCTGCTCGGAGCCTTCCTATAGGTACGTCTCGCCGACGGGCGTCGCTTTGCTCGCCGCCGCTCTGCTCGCGTGAGTTTGGCGGGTGCTCTGGGCGGACCTCTGGGAGCCTCCTCCGAGCCCGGCCGGACCCTCTTCATAGGTGGGTCGGCCTCGCGCTTTGGGGGTGCGTCTCTTGCTGCACGAGTTGCTGCCGCGTCTGCTGCAGAAAGCACACGCCCGAGGTGATCGCGCGCGTGAGCGGGCGGCTGAGTGTGATGCGCATGATGCCCTCGGGCCGCCTCTCGCGCGACCAAAAGGAGCTGCTGGCGCAGAGGGACCCCGCGCTGCGGCCACTGGTGTGAGCCCTATTCGCCGCGCGCGGGAGAGGCGATTTGGGTGGAGTTTGTGGGAGCTGGGACAGATGCAGCTCTCCGACTCTGGTGTTGGCGTACTTGGCCACTTGAGAGAGAGTGTGTGTGAGTGGTGTTGCTGCTTATACGTGGGAGCGTGTGTGTTGCTGTTTTGGGGTGTGATAGAGTTAGAGACAGGGCCACGTGAAATCTGAGCGCCGCGGCCAAGCCCGGAGGCGGAGTGCCGTGGCGGGCCAGGCCCCCGCCAGGCTCGAGGCTGTGTGTGCAGCGGACACACACATATTGACATATTCACGCGTAGAGCCGTACACAGTCACAGAGGATCTCTCTGTACTCTGACGACGCGTGTGAGCTCGTGACGCGATCGACGGCTTAGGGGACCCCTAGGGTTCTGAGGGCCGGATTTTTTAAGACCTTTTAAGAAACGAGGAGGTTTGGGGGATGGGGGCTTAACTTGCCATTTAAGAGATTGCAGGCACGGGGGGTCCCTCTTTTAAGACCGTTTAAGAAAATCGGCCTCGCCGGCACGCGTCGCTGGGTTCCGCGCCGTTTTCTCCAATACTGCCGTTGTTAGGCACAAACCCGCCTCTGAAGACACATCTGTAAGTCTGGTGCACTGGCAGGAGCCATACTCGCATAGGGGACGCGTGCTAGCTGACTGTAGCCGGCTTCCCGGCCTCCGGCGTGTCTACCGGGAGCCTCCCGGACCATCGACCTCGGGAGCTCTCCCGCACCGTTTAAGCGTTTAAGACCGTTTAAGGAATTGGCGGCCCAGCAGCTCTTAAAACTTGCCATGGCAAGTTTTTTAAGCTGTTTAAGCCGCAGGCGCCCCAGGGCCCACCCTTTTAAGCCTAGGGGTCCCCTAAGATCGACGGGCGACGCGCGAGCATGCCGCCGCGTACACCGCCCGCGCGTGCGTGTAGCTATAGACGCAACACGGCGCGCGTAGAGAGTTGTGTGGGTACTGGGCTGGGATTTTACTGACGTAATCGTACCCTGCTCTATCGGTGCTCGCTGTACCTACGCGCTACGGCGAGATGGCATGATTTGTGACACCAACTTGCTGCAACCATGCCCCGCACCCGATCGTCTCCCAGAGCGGCTTGAGAACGTCTCGAAGCCGATGCGTCTTTGAGGCCAAGCTGCCTCCCGGGTGGAAGACAATTGGGCCACGCTGCTCCCTCTTCCGGCTCGGCGTGTCTTTCACCCATCGCATGTTCACCTTCTCCAGCGGAGTGCGCGGGCACAGGCCGTAAGAGAGCACTTCAACTCGAAGGCCATCGTCGCAGCTGCCGACGATAGAGTACCGCTCGCGGTCCTCCTCCTCGCTGAGCAGTTGCTCGGCGAGTGCAGATGTTGAGCCTTCCAAGCTTCGGAAGAGCCGCAGGCTGGCATGGGCAGGAGAGAGGGGCACGCCGGCAGGGGTGCTCCACGTACAGTTATGCACGCCGAGAGTCTGCAGCAGCACGAGCTGCTCATTGGCCACGCGACCGATGAAACGGGTGCTGCGCGACTGCCACGCCCTCGCCTCCTCGAGCAGCCGAATCACCCGCTGCGTCGGCCTGAAGTAGGCGGAGCCGGTGCAGAGATGGAAACCCGTCCTCTGCCAGTCCTCTTTGAAGGTGCGAGCCGACCCGTGGAGCTGCCAGCCGCTCTGGCAGAGCGTGGAACCCTTGTAGTTGCTGCCGTGAATATGTCGCCGCCTGGCCGTCTCGCGTGCGTCGAGCTCGAACGCGCAATCGGGGCACGCGACAATGTCCGCGCCGCTACGGCGAAGCCGCTCCACCGGCGATCGGAGAAGGATTGCGTCGGGATCTAACTTGAACACCGACGCGCCGCTGCGGAGGACGTCGATCACATCGTCCCAGTAACGCCCCTCGTAGTCCTCTTTTGCTGCCGTATTTGCGATGGACGCATGAACGCGGCGTCGCGGCTTCCACGATAGCCTACGGCTCACCACGACTCCGGGCGAATCTTCGACCGCCTTTTCGGCGCAGCGTGTCCAGAGGTTGAGTATAGACTCCCAATCTTGACGCGTGCTCCCGTTGAATGGGATCTGCAGGGTCGCCAGGATCTCTGTGAGCCCTGTCTGCGGACCCTCCAGAGCGTGACGCCGACCGGCGACGGCCTGTTCCATATGCAGGTGCATTCGCGCCTTATGCGCTTGCGTCTTGTGAACTTGCGCCGCATGCATTTGGTGCCAGAGAGATCGACTCGGTCTGGCGTTTGCTCCGGGGTCCGCGCGTCCGGCGGCCCAACCTTTGGTTATTTTCAATTTTGGCTCTCCGAAGTCGGCCTGTGCGGCGTTTTACGTAATCAGTAAAGCAACGCGTGACGCGTGATGTGAGTAACGCATGATATGTTGTTAGCCGACAGAGCTCACACAAAACGTCGTGGCGCATGATGATGTGCCCCACGGGCGGCCACGTCCTGTCTCTTGAGAAGAGGAGGTCCTGTCTCGCCTGTGTCCTGACTCAGCACTCACCTGTGGCGCCGATGCGCTCGTTTGCCTCCCTGGGACTGGGTCCATGGGGCACGGGCTTCGACTCTCCTTTGCTAGCTCACACCGAGGCCGTGGTTGCGGTAGTCGGCCACAATCTCGACGGCGCGCTGCGCCGCCGGGAAGGCGTCGCGGATCGCCTCGACGCTGTCCGGCGGCGCCTCGCAGAGCAGGCTGAGGCTGAGCGGGTAGCGCTGCATCTGGCCGCGCCAGCCCGCCGCTTCTGCGCAGGCGGCGAGGAGCGCCTTGACGACGGCGGGCGAGGCCTTGCACGCCGCGGCAAAGTGGAGCGGGGCGTTGCCCTCCTCGTCCTTCTCCGCAGCGGCGGCGGGCCAGGCCGCGAGCAGGACGGCCACCACCTCGGCCGTCTGGCCGTTGCAGGCCGCCGAATGCAGCAGCGTGTGGCGGCCCTGCCGCTTGCGTATGCTCTCGGGATACCGTTTGAGCAGGGCGCTCACGACGTCGGCGCCGCAGCCATTCGCGACTGCGCCGTGCACCGCGAGGTTCCCCTCCCCGTCGGGCGTGCGCGCCGCCGCGGGGTTGGCCGCGAGCAGCGCCTCGACCACGGCCAGCGGCGCGCGGTTGCAGCAGGCGAGGTGGAGCGGGGTGTTGCCCGTTTGGGGGTCAACGTCGGCAGCGAGCGCCGGGTTCTCCTTGACGGCCTTGACGACGCTCTTTGGCTTGACGGTGGTGCCAGCAGTGAGCTGGGCGAGCAGGGACATGTGTGTATATCCGAGTGACGCGCGTAAGAGCACGTACACCAAGACGTAGCGCCAGGGTTCGCGCTCCAAGCGGGTAGGGGTAAATACGGATAATAGGAGATGGGTAAGGGAAGAAGATTTTTTACTTAAATACATATCACTGGGGCCAGCAAACAGTGCGGATGAACGGAACGATTACCCCTGACGGTCTACTGGGAGAAAAGGAGCTAGGAGGACCGGCGCCGCCAATGCTGCCGCTCACATTCAACTGACCGTCTCTCACACTGCGTCGCAAGGGCGGCGCGCCAAGGAGCCCGGGGGGGGGCGTGCGGAGGGGCCGCAGCGGCGCGTCAGGGCAGGAAGCCGCTCTGGTTGAGGTAGGCCTTGTAGCGCGCGCGCAGCTCGGGCACATCTCCGAAAAAGGAGCAGTGCCCGCCCGGCACGCAGAGCGAGCGCGCCTGTGGGCAGGGCGGGGCGGAGTGCGGTTCGGCACGCGCCCGTCACGGACGCGGGTGGGCGAACTCGCTGGCTCCGGCCCTGGGGCGTGTCTCGGAACTGTCTCGGAATTGTCTCGGAAAGGGTCTCGGAACTGGAAACGGTCTCGGAAGGAAAAGGTCTCGGAAGGGTCTCGGAAAGGGGAAAGGGTGTGTCTCGGGAGTGTCTCGGGAGTGCCCGCGCCTGGAGCAACTCGGGCTGGCTCCGGCCGTAGCGGGCGGCGAGCAATCGCTCGGCGAAATGGTGCGGCATCATCTCGTCGTGCCTAGTCTTGGACGATCTCGGGTGAGCTCGGGGTGAGCTCGGCGAGACGGCGCGGCGTCGTGGCGTCGACTGCTCGGCAAAGAAGACGAAGAGGTCGCCTGGCAGAGGGCAGACTGCGGATGAGTCGAACCGGAACTGGGACGGTGCGCGTCGACAGACGCCAGCGGCGGCGCCTCGCATCCGCCCCGCCTTGCCGACGTTGTCGAGCCTGTAGAAAAAAGAAAGAAAAGGCTGAAAATAGAAAAAAGAAACCGCCCTGCCGACGTTGTCGAGCCTGTCCAGCACGGCGCAGTGCGGCGCGTGCCGCTCGGCGGCGGAGGGCGGGCGGAATGCCAGCGCGACAACCAGCCACGCAGCGAGCCAGACGGCGCACCTGGACCCACACGGTTCCAAAGGAGTGAAGAGACGCTGCTCACAGCAGGCCGCGCGGCGAGCCGAGGCGGCGCACGGGGCGATGGCGCGCAGGAAGGAGCGCGACCAGCGCGGCGCCTTGGAGAGAACGACCTGCGGGCGCACGGGCTCCGAGGAGAAGAGTCCGAGCAAGAGGGTCCGAGGAGGGGTCCGAGAGGGTCCGAGGAGGGGTCCGAGAGGGTCCGAGGAGGGTCCGAGGAGAAGGGTCCGAGGAGAAGGTCCGAGGAGGGTCCGAGGAAGTGCGGAGGCTCGGCAGCCCGCGCCTGCTCGTAGAGTCCCTTGCCGACGTGCGCAGAGACGGCGTGCATCGAGGCGAAAGTCTGGTCGAGGGTGACGCGCCTACGAGATGGGGAGAGGTGGGGAGAGAGGGGGAGAGATGGGGAGAGATGGGGAGAGGTGATGGGGAGAGGTGATGGGGAGAGGTGGGGAGAGGTGGGGAGAGGTGGGGAGAGATGGGGAGACGCGGGGAGACGCGGGGAGACATTTCGCATCTACGCTGCCTCGCAGGCCGGGGTGGCGGACGCCCAAGGCGCACGCGGCGCCGCCGCCGATCGAGAGTCCGTGCACGAGGACGCGCTCGACGGGCGCGCCTGTCCGCCACAGCTGAAGACGGCTTCCTCCCTCCGTCTCTTGCTCTACAGCGGCCGCTCGACGCGGCGGCGGCGCCTCGCGCGGTGCGAATGTGCGAGAGGGCGGCCTAGGGTTAGGGTCAGGGTCAGGGTCAGGGTCAGGGTCAGGGTCAGGGTCGGGGTCAGGGGTAGGGTCAGGGTGTAGGGTCAGGGTCAGGGTCAGGGGTAGGGTGAGGGTGAGGTTGAGGGTGAGGGTGAGGGTGAGGGTGAGGGTGAGAGTGAGGGTGAGGGTGAGGGTGAGGGGTAGGGGTAGGGGTAGGGGTAGGGGTAGGGGTAGGGGTAGGGGTAGGGTGTGCGAGAGGCGGCCTCCGCGTCGAGGTAGAGGGAGAGCTCGGAGGGGCAGTAGGCGGCCTCGCCGGGGAGCAACGCGCCCGCCTCCCTCGCGTCGGGGCTGCCCGGCGCGTCGGGCCGCTCCGAGTACGCGGCGTGCTCCTGCACATGTCAAATGGACATGTCACACGGCAGCCAAGAGGGTGAGGGTGAGGGTGAGGGTGAGGGTGAGGGTTAGTGCTCATGTCACATGGCAGCGGAGAGGGTGAGGGGGAGGATGTCACGAGTCCTTCTCGGAAGTGTGTCGAGGCGGCGGGCTCCTCGGCGGGGTCGGGGTAGCCCCAGAAGGTGAGGACGAGGACGGCGCAGCCGAGGCTGAGGTAATACTGCGCCCAGTCCGTCATGTCGTCCAGCACCATCGCGTTGGCGTGTAGCAGCAGCACCACGGGCCGAGCGCCCTCGCCATTGTTCCCGCCGCCGCCGCCGCCAGCATTTTGCCCCTGCGGCTCGGCCCACACAGCGTGCACCGCCCGCTCGTCCGAGGTGGTGAGCGAGACCTCCTCCGCCCCCAGCCGCCTCAGGAGCAGCGCGCGCTGCGTCGCGTGCTCCCACCGCAGCTGTCCCGCGAGCGGAAAATAGAGGAGCTGGCGCAGGCGCGGCCACTCGAAGCCGACCAGGTAGCGGTAGGGAAGGTAGCAGCAGCAGGAATAGCCGAAGAGCAGCACTCCGGCGAACCACATGAGCGCCGCCATGCCGCGAGTTTTGCAAAAAGATTTCGCGCGGCGCGAGCTTGCACCAGGCTTCGGGAGAGACAGAGATTTCTTCTCTCTTGGCTTCAGCTTCGCACTCGTCTACGGCCTCACGTGGCGCCCCGAGGCGTCTGCCGAGGGATGGATCAAGACGGATGCAGGCTCCTGGAAGTGCATGGGGTGGTAGTACGACGCGAAGTGGGTGGGTGGGTCAAGAAAGCCATAACGCGGCTGGTGCTCGTGGAAACTTCGGGTGGCATTGCGCCGCCCACCAAGCAGTTCCTCCACGTGTTCGCCAAGGAAGCGGTGGGCACCAACACGGTTCCGGACGGTGTAATGGGGCGGCGTCGGCGAGCGCCTCGTCCTCCTTTGTCGTCGTCCACCACCACGCAGCAGATCTCCATGCACCATGGCGGCGGTGGCGGGCGACGCCGAAAACATCAACAAGCAGGCGCGCAATGCGCGTGCCGACTGGGTTAAATCCCCTGGGCGTGCCAAATGGGACTAGTTGCAAATACGGGTGCTGTGGAAATGATTGAATTTTGATGTTTTTTGTTCCGTGTTGCTCCCAGCGCCCTCGCCCGCACCTCCCTGAGGCCATGGCTGGTGCTACTAGTATGGGGGGCTACCTGGCTACCGCGAGAGCGACCCAGCTCGTCGACATCGTCCGATTATGGTGCCTCAAAGTCAGCCTTCGGAGGTTATCGTGGGGTCGAGCCGGCAGTAGCCGTGACATGTGGTTCCACCACCCCTCGTAGGCTTTGCCTCTGACCGCCACCGTTCCCAGGCTGCCTAATGGGATGGAAAGGAAGGCTCGGCGAGCGTATAGAAGCGTGCTCGACCTCGTCGTGGCAACCTGCACGGCAGCGCTGGCGGGCGCGATGAGCGTCGTGCCACCTGACCCGAGACGGGTCGCAGGCGTCGTACCGAGCGCGTCGAGACCGTGTCCTGATGTGCTCTGCACGGGCGAGTCACGTCGGCGTCAAAGGAGCGACGTGTGACCTGTCAGAGCTTGATCTCCGATCTCAGCGGCGTCGAGTCGCCTTCGGTGGCGACAGCTAGGATGCATCTCCTCCGTCGTTTTTCGCGCGATGGCCCTGGGAAGCTGGCGGCGCACGCAGGCGGACCTTGTGTGTGCGCGGAACGCTTAAAAAGTGCCAAAGACTTAAAGTGGGTGCCCTACGTCACTTTTTTTGAGCAGATACACGTAGTGCCGAGGCCCGAGCTGGCCGTAACAGCGTTTTTCACAGTTTTTGTTTTTTCCACGTGAGACTTTTTCTCGCTGTAGCTCTTACGTACATTTTTGCAACTAGTCATGGGTCAACGACGAGGGACGTCAACAACAAGCTACTTGAGCGTCTTGACAAGCAACTAGTAGCAAGCGGCAGACGTCCTCTTAGCCTCGGCCCCAGTGGGGGGCGCCCACGCCGCCTAGCTCTGCGGGCGGGCCCCTCCACCCTTCACGTACGGATCATGTAGTCCCCACAATCGCTGTCGTGGGATCGCTTGTCATGTGACTTGTGAGAGAGTGCGTTGTGTTCTTGTTTTCTATCCGGTTTCTCTCTTCTCTGCCGACGGGCTGCCGGCAGCTCAGTCTGCTCAGCGATCCATTTCCGCCGCATGCGGTGCGCCGCCGCCGCCGTGGTTGCCGCCCTTTGGCGGGTCGATGAAGATGTCGGCGATCATAAAGAGCGCCGCCAGCGCAGCAGCGGTCCTCGTCTGCGCGTCCGTGCCGGGCGTGATCTCGAGCTTGATCTTGGAGCTCTCGCTGATGTCGCCCCCTTGCTGCCAGAGCTTGAGCAGGCCGACAGAAGGGCCGTCCGGCGTGGTCTTGAGGTCATAGAGGCCGGGCACCCCTGGCATCACGCAGCAGATGATGGCGATCGACGCGATCGAGCACGTCGGGAAGAAGAGGCAGAAGGAGGCGATGCACCAGTACGTCTTGCACTGAAAGCAGCCGTGCGACCTTGGCCGAACGCCTTTGCCGCTCGCGTCAACGTAGGAGTGGCCCATGCCCCACTTGCTGGTCTGCATCTTGCCATAGGGCGCGCCGAAGACGCTCACCGGCAAGTCGGTCTCGCCTGACGAGATCATCGTCGGCCGCGAGCTGCGGCTCCACTGCGCGAGCACGGTGTTGTCCGGCAGGACGATCGCCGCGGCCATGTCGCCGCGGAAGCGGTCTCCAGTGGCGACGCAGAGCGTGGCGATTTCGGGATTGCCCTCCGCCGTGCTCTTGATCGAAAATGAGCCGCGAGTTGCCGTGGCAATCCCAAAGGGGTTCATCAAGGTCGACTGCTGCTGGAAGACCTGGCTGAGGAATTGATACGTGCCCTCCGAGTCGTGCTGATCGGATCTCACCGCGACCTCGATGCCATCGAGGCCGCCGAAGAGCGAGACCATCTCCTCCTGCGAGCGACCCGCCGTCGGCGCCGCCACCGCCACCGGCACGGCCATGGCCATGGAAGTCGGTTGCATCTGCGCCATCTCCTCTTGCTCGTCTGCACGTCGCACGCGCGCGTGGCCGAAATCGCCGTCTGCAAGAACCGCGGCTGACTCCAAACCAAGCGGCACCGGCCTGTCGACCTTGTAGCGAGGGCTGTGAAAAGCCGAGATAGGAATAAAAAGCAAGGTGCCCGGCGGGAAGATGACTCCGAGGAGGACGAACCAGTGGAAATCCAGTTGTCAGATGTCACGATGCATCCGAAGGGGACCCCAGCGCCGGCATCATCCGTAGAGGCACGAGTGTTCGAAGAGAGAGTGGACCTGAGCAACAACATGACCTGTAGGCAAATGATCGGAGTGGGAGTCAGAAACGTGGTCCTTGCGCGAGGGGAGCTCGATAGACTCGAGGGGCCAGGATACGCCGCGAGGAGGACGGAGTTGCGCCGAAAGGCGAAAGAAGCCGCGAGACCAAGGGACCGGCAGGCGGCGGCGTCACAGGACGAGGCAGAAGGGAACGACGCGACAGAGGAGGAAATGACAAGGGAGAGAACGACGAGAGTGGGACGACCGCGAGGTGGCATGAAGGTTGCAGCGAGAATCGGAGAGAGACTGCGAAGAGAGATAGGAAGAGGCAGACTCCCTAGGGTGGGCGACGGCTAGCGCACCACACACCTCTCCTTAAAATCCCTGTGTGGTGGCGGCGTGCCGTCCTCCCATCCCTCCCTTGGGTTGTCTGTTTTCTTTCTTTCTTTTGCCCGGCGCCGAGAACCTGTCGAACCTTAGACAGCATTCATTGTACTCAGTAGGTAGAATTTATGGAGATCCCCTCGCGAGGGTGGGTGGTGGCGTCGTCCCCGTCGGGTCCTCAGCGCTCAGGGTGGGGGAGAGAGAGATTTTTAATACCAAACAACTCTCAAGAAACAACTCTAACACTCACACACATGAACATGATGTTGTTGTCAGGGTGGAGTCGCCGAACGAAGGACGGGTAGTCGTCGATCATGATTCATGTGCGGGGGCGGGGGGGGGGGGGGGTTCGGCACGAGCAGCAGAGGGAGAAGTCAGAAGAGCCATGTCTGAGAGCCAGAGCGCCGCGTATCGTACTACGCCAGTCCGACGCCAGCGGGCGTCGGCGCCGTCGCATGGCGCCCGCGCGAGGCACAGGGACAGGCGCGCGGCGATCACGGAGGGCCGCGGCTGGGGGGCGCTGCCGCCGCTGCGCCGCTCTCGTGCACTGTGGACTGCACTGTGGACTGCACGACCACGAGCACTGGCCACTGCGGCACGACGAGCTCACGGCGACCGACACCCGACCGTGTGTGAGTGTGTGTCCGTGACCGTGTGTGTGTGTGTCGCGGGGTGCGGGTGGGGGAGAGCTGACCTCGAGACGAGTGTGCGGGCCGGCGCTCTGTAGAAGCTTCGAGGTGCCCTCTTC